GTTTTCAACTAGTCCTGGACCGGACTTTTTAGGGACCGGACCGGGACCGAACCAGACGAACCATTTAACATCCCTATGAGACAATATATGAAACAGTTAAATACAATACATATAAGTTTATCGAATACTACGTATGATCATTTAAGAAGCTAGCTACGTACGTACGTACAGTACATTCATAATCTCCTAATTTAAACGGAATCAGCATATGACGATGATCTGAAAAGGATTAATTCCGATTGTCTTCCTGAAATTATGATTCTGCCGGGATTTGACAACCCGCATTTCCGCAAATTCGGTTTCCCGAAAAAAAACAAAAAAAAACCATGAAATTCTCGAAATGAAATACCTAAAAAAGACACAATACAAAAAATATTTAACGTATATTTTTTTAAAAAAAAGTTTCATGTTAAAGTATTTCTCTGCAATATTATTAAGGTTTAAAATATGGTATGCGCTATTTCACTTGTAACAATAAAGAAAAAATGATTTAGCACGTTAAATTGTTACAGAAACCTTATCACATTAACCCACTTACATTCTCTTTACAAAATAAGAAAAAAAAAAAAAGTCCGAAGTATCTATGGTAAATTCTAAAAAGAAATCTTTACGTATAATTCCTATTAATAGCAGCACCTGATCTGCATAATTTATTTTCTTGCGAATCGCTTAATCTCCGATACGCCTTCTTAGAAGTTTCTTCGTAGAATTTATTATCGGCTGCATGGATCATTACGGATAGAAACTTAATGCACAAAGTTATGAATAATTAATTAGTCAAAGTTTATACGTACTATTAAGTAAACTATGTAATGAATTGTACGTACGTATTACATTAGGCATTTCTTTGTTATATATTTTAATAACCATACGTATCAATATGATACGTACTAATTCTTACATAGTTTGGGATATCCCAAATAGTTTAATTTTCATGCATATCAAGGGTTTGTCTGATAGTCAGGTAGTTAGATATGCATTGGCTTTCAAATGCATGCATTGTTTTGAATTCTTCCACTTAAAGTATTAACGCGAAATAACGCCTCGAAATATTATTTCAAAAAAATAATGTTGAAAGTGTAGCTACCTCTCTTGACATCCCTTTTTTTTTCTAACTGAGGTTAAGAGGTGGCTGTTCTTTCAAAAAATCTGGGGCATTGTTTCGCGTTAATGAGGTACCTTTTTTGAATAATTCTAATAATTTCTTAAGGTAACTCGGGATATAACAATTAAATATTCAGAGAGCAATTGACAGGAAAAATAAGCATTTAGTCAGCCAGGACTATGCTCAATAACTTTATTATAAACCCAGTCACGTTACTAGCATTTTACAGTATTTTGATGAGACCATCCATATTACACTTTACAATAAACAAGAAAAAAGAAAAAAAAAAGAAAGTTCGCCTAATTTAAAAAAAGTCCGTCTAATATATATTTTGTTAGACCTTCACAGAAGGTACTAACTTGCGGTATAATAGTGCCTAGTCTAATAATAATTCTCTTTTTTTGAATCCGATTCATAATCCGATTCTCTAAGTTGTATAAATCTAGAATTAAATCCAATAGCATTTCTTAATTTATTATGCTGACAACTACTAATTGATTGTATGTGTTTATGATTAATCCACCATCTGACACCTTCAGTACACGGTGGAGTAGTTAAACTTCCATTATACGTAAAAGGCTTGATTAGAATAATAAAAAACAACGTTAGCATAAGAGGTTTTTTAAGTTTATAATTGTCAAGTTTAAAGTATATGATATACTTACTTCCTGAATATTTTTAATATCTCTAAAAATTTTTGATAAACCTATATTACGAATGTTTATCACTTCTTTCGGTTTTGGAATCTTTTAAAATACAGAAAAATTAATATTAGTATATAAATATAAATATTATTATTATTAGTATTATTATGTTTAAAATTTACATTTTTAAGGATAGGCTTAAAAAATTTATTCTCCTTTCCCTCAAGATCAACGTTAAAAAATATTGCAACAACGGATATTTTGTCATTCTGACTTTTGAACACAAAATGTGCTTCAACATCAAGATGCACACCGTCAATACGATGTTCTGAGGGTGTATGAAAATGAAATTGGAGTAGTTTAAAAGTTTCATCTCCAACAGTAAAACTAGCTGGCAGAAACTCATTGCCTTTGCCTTCTTCACCTTCTTCTTCCTTGCCCAAAGCTACCTCAATTGTAGTCCCAGTATGAACTAATTCAGCTTTAACAATATTTTTAACTCGGACATTACACGGTGGTTCGAATTTTTTATTAAGATCAGTGTGTGATCTTAAGTTAATGGGAGACTGACGACGACCATCAAGACATATTGAAGAATTTGGTAAAAGATGCCAAAATGCTGGTCCAGTCATCCCGACATATGAGAATTCTATTTTTGACTCGGCCTTGACCGAAAAAACTATTGCTAAAATTATAAGAGAATATAATAAAAGTTGGGAAATTGGCGATACTTTCATTTTTATTTTTTTATTTTTTTTTAAGTGCGAAAAATATGAAAAATATGGATGATCTATCAAACAAGTTGAGGTAGCTGGTGGGTATTTAAATATTAAAATTCCCCTATATTATTATATAGGGATGAAATTTTTATTCAATGATAAGTTAAAAGTTAATTAGATGCACAAATGTAACGCCAGAATATCGATTTGTACAATAAAAAAAAATATAATAAAAAATTTTAAAAATTTATTATGATAGTATTGTTCTATTTAAAGTTAATCTGATCTGCTAAAGTCTTTTGGTTATGTTTCAACAAAAAATAAAAGTTAAAATTTATTTAAAACCAAACATCCCATGACAATGGTAATAGACTAACGTTAAATCATTAATTGTAAATCAAAACCACGAAATCACAATCGACTTTCCAGCATAGAGATTATACAGGAGCGACCGTCGATGTTACACGACTGACTTTTCACCCGGTGTGCAACATATAAAAAAACTATTTTACAA